GGCCGCTAGCGCCGAAAATAGCCCCTTCTTTGGCCGCTAGCGGCGAAAATCGGTCGATTTTTGGCAGGTAACGGCGAAATTCGCGCGATTTTTGCCCGCCAGCTGCAAAAATCGCATGGTTTCTGGCCGCTAGCGTCGAAAATAGCGCGGTTTTCGGCCGTTAGCCGCAAAAACCGCCTGATATTTGGCCTCTAGCGGCGAAAATCGCACGGTTTTTGGCCGCTAGCGGTGAAAATCGCGCTATTTTTGGCCGGTAGCGGCGAAAATCGCGCTATTTTTGGCCGGTAGCGGCGAAAATCGCGATTTTAGCCCGCCAGCTGCGAAAATCGTATGTTTTTGGCCGCTAGCGGCGAAAATCGCTCGGTTTTTAGCCGGTAGCGGCGAAAATCGCGCTATTTTTGCCCGCCAGCTGCAAAAATCGCATGGTTTCTGGCCGCTAGCGGCGAAAATAGCGCGGTTTTTGGCCGTTAGCGGCAAAAATCGCCCGATTTTTGGCCGCTAGCGGCGAAAATCGCACGGTTTTTGGCCGCAAGCGGCTAAAATCGCGCTATTTTTGGCCGGTAGCAGCGAAAATCGCGCTATTTTTGCCCGCCAGCTGCAAAAATCAATCTAAGGACCCAATGACCGCCTTGATTAATCTAGGGATCCAATGACCACCTGGATCAATCTAGGGACCCAAGGAAACCCCTGGATCAAATCTAAGCTATAGTTTGGCACCTTAATATAGGAGCTTAATAAACTAAGCAATATACCAATAAGTTAATGAACTAATAAACCATTTAGTAAAAATACTGAAGAAATATCACCACCAGTCGTCAGCAGAGAACCATCACCTCGGCGAAATCGTCATTTTTAGCAAAACTCAAAATCAAAACCAGCCGTAGAATCACTTTGAAAACATTACCATTGGATTTACCACATTCATTTACATTTCTTTTAGTAAAGGTTTTCTTTGCTAATATTGAATATCAAAGCAATTAGAGCAATATTTAACGTGATACAGCCATCCAAAGTATGCAACAAATCATGTTCTTTTCTCAAGATATGTTAGAGTAAATTGAGTAGAAGAACATGTAATAAAAATCTAAATAAGCTTAACTATAAATGGATAATAATAAAAACAGATATATCTTTATTTCAACTTTATTAGAGATTATTTTTTTTCGTCCCATTCCTTCTGCACGTGAAGAAATAATTGGTACCCAGAACAATCTGGGTACCCAAGTTCTGCCTGGAACAATTTGGTGACCCAAGGAGCCCCCATGGAACATTCTGGGGACCCAAGAACCCGCTGAAAGAATCTGGTGACCCAAAGATTTCCCTGAAGCAATCTGGGGACCCAAAGATCCTCCTAGAACAATTAGAGGGCCCAAAGACCAACTTTTAACAATATATGGAACCAAAGAACCCTCTGGAACAATCTGCGTACCCAAAAACGCTTTTTGTAATCATCTGAGGACCCAAGGATCCTTCTGGAACAATCTGCGGACCCAAGGACCTCTGGAACAATGTGGTAACCCAAGGACCCCCTGGAACAATCTAGCGACCCACGGACCCCCCTGGAACAATCTAGCGATCCAAGAACTCCTGGAACAATCTAGGGACACAATTACCCTTCCCCCCCTGGATAAAACTAGTGATGCAAGGACCCCCTTGAACAATGTGGTAACCCAAGGACCCCCTTGATCAATCTAGGGACCCAATGACCGCCTTGATCAATCTAAGGACCCAATGACCGCCTTGATCAATCTAGGGACCCAATGACCACCTGGATCAATCTAGGGACCCAAGGAAACCCCTGGATCAAATCTAAGCTATAGTTTGGCACCTTAATATAGGAGCTTAATAAACCAAGCAATATACCAATAAGTTAATGAACTAATAAACCATTTAGTAAAAATACTGAAGAAATATTGGCAGGAAAGTTGGTGCCTTCAGGCCATAATTCCTGGCCACACCACCAGTCGTCAGCAGAGAACCGTCACCTCGGCGAAATCGTCATTTTTCGCAAAACTCAAAATCAAAACCAGCCGTTGAATCACTTTGAAAACATTACCATTGGATTTACCACATTCATTTACATTTCTTTTAGTAAAGGTTTTCTTTGCTAATATTGAATATCAAAGCAATTAGAGCAATATTTAACGTGATACAGCCATCCAAAGTATGCAACAAATCATGTTCTTTTCTCAAGATATGTTGGAGTAAATTGAGTAGAAGAACATGTAATAAAAATCTAAATAAGCTTAACTATAAATGGATAATAATAAAAACAGATAAACCTTTATTTCAACTTTATTAGAGATTATTTTTATTCGTCACATTCCTTCTGCACGTGAAGAAATAATTGGGATGGTTTGTTGCCTTGTTATATTAGCCGTCTTCAAAACAGACACTTAACACTTTCACCGATATTGCTTTGAAGTGTTTGTCATACTCTCCTAACTTTTATCTGCTAAAAGAGTGTAAACACCTTAGACAATAAGTAAGCTTGAGCAATGCCAGGCACCTTGTGATAAGATACAAATATCGTGAGCCTTTAAAAACAATTCTTTCTTCCAACCACCTCAGACCCTCAATTGTCCCGAGGGTTCCAACTATGGTAATCTAACCCAATGTGGATGGCGGCTATAACTGAGAATCCCGATAAAGCCCTCTAAGACTTACTGATGAAATAATTTCGCATTTTAAATCACTGAGGGCGAGCACTAAGTTGACCAGACCACACACTAGAAGTTGAAGGGACGACGACGTTTCGGTCCGTCCTGGACCATTCTCAAGTCGATTGTGTATCGACTTGATCGACTTGAGAATGGTCCAGGACGGACCGAAACGTCGTCGTCCCTTCAACTTCTAGTGTGTGGTCTGGTCAACATACTTCAGCCACGTTATTGTGACTTATCGACGACGAACACTAACTTCTTTGGAAGTAAAATCCTGCAGAGCCTCTAAGTTCAAGTTCAAGTATGTTTATTGAGACAAGAAAACAATACATCTCAAAGGGATTATGTTCAGCAATATGTTTATTGTTTGTGATGGGTGTCTATATATGTATGAACACGTTGTACTGAACGGGGTGAGAATAGCTTGCGCTACCTCATCCCTTTATGTGTATTTTACCTCAATAAACTTATTTCAATTTCAATTTCAAAGGGATAGAGTAGCTTAGGCTATTTCTACCCCCCACCCTTTTAGAGCCTGTAACATGCAGGTTGCAGGTTGAGTCCCTTTACGTTCATCGTAGATTTACAGTACTGGAGGTCTGTTGAGTATAGCCTTGCCCTCTCGGTTTTACATAATAGGTTAATATAGTAGGCGGCCTGATGAATGGAACACTGGGTACAATTGACCTTATCTCACGACCTTCGGGAACTATTCGAGTGTGACGTCGTGATATTAACGCGCTCCCAAGGGTGTCGTCTTGAGTTCTTGAATACGCGTCATACATGTAGATAGAGCCGCCTACGGGCTCACCATAGCCCGTGCTACTTGGAACTTTTTGTTCCAAGTAGCGAATCTTTAACAACAACAACAAGATAGAGCCCCAGCAGACCTCCCCATGAGATCCTAGAACAATAGACTCTTGCTTATTACCTTCTAACATTGTTCACGAAATATGTGACAGATATTTAGCTTTTAATGTAAATTATATTATAAATAATCCCTACCTCAATATATTTATGACGCGATAGATACTTCACTTAAACATTGGATTTAAAATGTCTGGCAAGGAATTCAGAGCATGAATATTTAATACACAACAGATAAATCCAATTTAAAGTCATCCATCATAAATGACATCAGTATTTCGACAAAATTGGTTACAGAATTCTGAAATTATTGAGTGCAATATGATATGGGTTCTCGAGTAGTGAAATAGACGAAAAGTTGATTCAGATCCTGGATTCCATATAACATTGTGCGTAGAGGCAATTATTACCATAGAGGTTATATTTATATATATATATATATATATATATATATATATATATATATATATATATATATATATATATATATATATATATATATATATATATATATATATATATATATATATATATATATATATATATATATATATATATTTCAGTTTTTCGTAATTACATCTATTTTAATTTTTATCAATTATGTGTAATATTAAATTAATTTTTTATTCCTCTTCCTTCTCCTTATCATTTACCTCTTATTCGTTTCGTTTCTTTTGTTTTCACTTTAAATCTCGTTCATAATAGGAAATAATTCCCATGCCTGCTTCACTGCCAAAGTCTAACATGCAAATAAATGTGAACCATTTCCTCGGCCGTGCTCTGGATTCAGTTTTTCTCAGTGAAAATAGATATCTCCTGCAAGCATTCCAATAATATTTTATTTTTCTTAAAGTGTACGAGCACTGCAGAGCGACGAACACTGCAGAGCTACGAACACTGCAGAGCTACGAACACTGCAGAGCTACGAACACTGCAGAGCAACGAACACTGCAGAGCTACGAACACTGCAGAGCTACGAACACTTCTGAGCTACGAACACTGCAGAGCGACGAACACTGCAGAGCTACGAACACTGCAGAGCAACGAACACTGCAGAGCTACGAACACTGCAGAGCGACGAACACTGCAGAGCTACGAACACTGCAGAGCTACGAACACTGCAGAGCGACGAACACTGCAGAGCGACGAACACTGCAGAGCTACGAACACTGCAGAGCGACGAACACTGCAGAGCTACGAATACTGCAGAGCGACGAACACTGCAGAGCGACGAACACTGCAGAGCTACGAACACTGCAGAGCTACGAACACTGCTGAGCTACGAACACTGCAGAGCGACGAACACTGCAGAGCTACGAACACTGCAGAGCTACGAACACTGCAGAGCTACGAACACTGCAGAGCTACGAACACTGCAGAGCTACGAACACTGCAGAGCTATATATTTGTATACCTTTTATGCCGATTGCCATGCTTCATAAAATGTTCTGAACCCAAGCACTTTTCTCACGACGGTTCATCCGTGATCAACACGTGCAAGAGCTGCTATTGTGTCAAGCAGGATGTAAGAGTCTTTCCTTGAATAATTGATAACTTTCTTATCAACTACCACCACTGCCATAGTTTGCTAGTTACAGTCACTAAACTGGGTTACAGAGACGAGGCAAGCGTGACTCACGAGAGTAAGGTAAGAAAGGGAAGAAAGGCTTAGTTCAAATATGTTAGGTAAGGAATACTTGGTTCACATATGTTAGGTAAGAAATGGTTGGTTCACATGTAATAGGAAAGGAAGAGACAAAAGTCTTGGCTTACATGTGTAAGATAGGGAAGACAACAATGGCTTTTCTAATTATTGAAGAGAGTAACAAACTCTCATTTTACTATGACTGAAAATAAGTAAACAACGCGACTCATAACAGTTTTAATAACATCAGTAATATAAGTATATGTATAATTAAACTGACAATTTCATTACTTGCAAGCGCGAGTCACACAGTTTCCACAGTTCGGATCCTCCTCACCCAGAGCTTCTCTGTAGCTCAGGTTAATGCCGTATTTGAGTAGATTAATCTTATTGGCTCTGATATTACTGGAAGCGGATCTTCTGATTACTGGTAGAGGGTGTTCTGATCCAGTAGTTGTTTGTCTCTCTCGTGTGGAAGGCAGACCTTTGCTTCTTCTTCTCTCCCCTCTCATACTCCTCTTTCTTCTTCCTCCTCCTCTCCATTTGTTTACTTTTCCTCTCTTTGTAATCATTCTCTCTCTCTCATTCTCTATAATAATAATAATAATAATGAAGTTATAATAATAATTAGAGTGCTAGTAATAAAGATTATAATAACAACAGTTTTAATAATAATAATAATTATAATAATAAAGGTATAATGACGAGGCATTAATTAAAAAAATATGTAAACACAGAAAACCGCCAGTATATAACCTCTCATCAAATACTTAATCCAGGTGGTGGGTTATGAGGGCGGGGCACAAGCACCCTCCAGGGGGGCCCGGCTTAAGACCAGCACTACCACAGCCCCAGACAGTAGCTGCAACACGCACCATAAGCCTCGCACCTCTGCTCATTGGCTTGCCTGGCATGTTTATTGGTGCAGTGCGACGCTCTCTATCTCGAAAGATTATCTTTCTCTCACAGTTTCTCTTCTGTGGAATGTTCACTCTGTGTGTCACGTTTTGTTCCTGTAAACAAAGCTAATTAACATCTAATGCAGGTCAAGATTTTGGTGTAAAATATAATGTGTCATTTGTAATTAGAATATACCTATTAATTACGAAATGAAACTCAGTACCAATTAGATTTGAATATATTTGAATATATTTGAATATATATATATATATATATATATATATATATATATATATATATATATATATATATATATATATATATATATATATATATTAGTATATTTTGGTAGCAGTCTTTCCTGTAGACATATATAATTAAATATGACCGAAAAAAATATGACTTTTTCGGTCATATTTAATAATATATATATATATATATATATATATATATATATATATATATATATATATATATATATATATATATATATACATATGCGAACAAGCCTGAATGGTCCCCAGGACATATGCAACTGAAAACTCACACCCCAGAAGTGACTCGAACCCATACTCCCAGAAGCAACGCAACTGGTATGTACAAGACACCTTAATCCACTTGACCATCACGACCGGACATAATGAGGTGATAGCCGAGGCTATTTGAACCACCCCACCGCCGGCACTCGGATAGTTATCTTGGGCATAGCATTTTACCAAATCACCTCATTCTTTGGGGCAACACGTGAGGAACACAAATGCGAACAAGCCTGAATGGTCCCCAGGACATATGCAACTGAAAACTCACACCCCAGAAGTGACTCGAACCCATACTCCCAGAAGCAACGCAACTGGTATGTACAAGACGCCTTAATCCACTTGACCATCACGACCGGACATAATGAGGTGATAGCCGAGGCTATTTGAACCACCCCACCGCCGGCACTCGGATAGTTATCTTGGGCATAGCATTTTACCAAATCACCTCATTCTTTGGGGCAACACGTGAGGAACACAAATGCGAACAAGCCTGAATGGTCCAACTGAGTTTTCAGTTGCATATGTCCTGGGGACCATTCAGGCTTGTTCGCATTTGTGTTCCTCACGTGTTGCCCCAAAGAATGAGGTGATTTGGTAAAATGCTATGCCCAAGATAACTATCCGAGTGCCGGCGGTGGGGTGGTTCAAATAGCCTCGGCTATCACCTCATTATGTCCGGTCGTGATGGTCAAGTGGATTAAGGCGTCTTGTACATACCAGTTGCGTTGCTTCTGGGAGTATGGGTTCGAGTCACTTCTGGGGTGTGAGTTTTCAGTTGCATATGTCCTGGGGACCATTCAGGCTTGTTCGCATTTGTGTTCCTCACGTGTTGCCCCAAAGAATGAGGTAATTTGGTAAAATGCTATGCCCAAGATAACTATCCGAGTGCCGGCGGTGGGGTGGTTCAAATAGCCTCGGCTATCACCTCATTATGTCCGGTCGTGATGGTCAAGTGGATTAAGGCGTCTTGTACATACCAGTTGCGTTGCTTCTGGGAGTATGGGTTCGAGTCACTTCTGGGGTGTGAGTTTTCAGTTATATATATATATATATATATATATATATATATATATATATATATATATATATATATATATATATATATATCCTGACCATATAAGGTTTCTGGAAGCATATTTTTCTTCACGGACGCGTTTTGCACGTGGAAGCAAAATCCTCTTTGTATCCAATGCCTCGGCAGCAGCAATATCAGGTTTCTCTGCAACAACGCACGTCTGTGTCTATACGGGAAGTGAGGTCAAGTGAGCTTTAACGAAACAAAAAATTAAAGAAAAATTAAAAAGGGAAAGTGACCTTTCGCCAATTTCATGTATTTATCTCTATGTTGCTCTGTATGTGGCCGGGAGTATGTGTGTTTACTTCTGCTTTTATGTGATATTGAATTTTTATTCGTGCGCTATTTACATCTCATATGGCGGTCATTACTCATTTTTCCGGTAACGCGTTTAATTGCTGCGGTTTAAATTTTATTAAGCCACTTAAATTTTACGCTGTGTTTAATGGAGCCCACCAAGTGATGCAATAATTGTGAGGACAGGATGTTTAAAGACTGATGGTTTTTGATAAATCTCTTATGGATAAAGCCATTGTCACTCTAATATCATCAACACCTGGCAGTAAATTTATTGACAATTCCTACATATATTTCAATTGTCTTCCCATCGTCCGGTAAAGATTATTTTTTAATCTTATTATGTAACTAACTGTAAAGTAAATGCTAAGGAATTAACAAATAAAAATACTCATGTAAATTTCAAATGCAAAGCAAGCTTTATGTATTTTACAAATTGGGAAGCTATAGCGTAACAATGGTATTTAAGCTAGTAAAGGAGAACGAATATTACATAGAAAAGTAATCATTATTTAAGGCAAAGCACAGTAATAAAGTTTCGAAATAGCCTTTCTAAATTTAGCTGATGTTAAAGGTGAAGCTCCCCATCCAAGCTTAACATACAAGCTATTTATATATGAAATATGAATAAACTGATGAAGTAGCTGACCTGGATGTACACTTCAACCAAGTGTACATCCAGCTGTATAAGCTGGATGTACACTTGTAAGTACATCCAGCACTACATCATGTAAGTAACTGGCGCTGCTTACTGTACGTAAGCAGCGCCAGTTCTGCTTACCAAAAATGGCTCACTAGATACTCAGATTAGTCGCCGAAGCTTCAGCGTTCAAGCAAACTCGGCATCTCACCCATTTAAAGCTTGAGAATAGTCAATCTCAATCAAGTCAGTCAATTAACCAAATATGGGAACAATAACTATACACGGTAACCAAAAATACCACCAGTAAATAGTTTTTCACCACTACTTATATTTTTAATTATATTCCTTCGTCGTAAGCCACAAAGAACGCCTCATAAATATTTAACAACCTCAAGTAATTATACAGCTGGGTTCAGATGCTCCAACACATGGCAGGGTTGGAAATACACAATAATGATTCAGTTGATGTGATAGATAAATAATAATGATATATAAATCTTTATATATTAAAACACTAAATCTAAAATATTTCCGTATTGTCGTTTTTCTGTGACGTCTTAAACGTCCATATTCACTTAGAGAGAGAGAGCAGCACTGTGTTGTCCCGTCATCGTTGATGACCCATAAGGGACCTAAATTATCATAATGTTTGGTGCTGGGGTGAATAACTACATTGACCCCTTAACATTTGCATACGTAGCACCTCGCACGACATCGAAAAAAAATTGGCAGCTCGGCTATTGGATTTTATGGTAACACAATATATATATTTCTTTGGGTTGGGAGGGGTTGTAAAGGAGAATATTTTAGCGGAGTGGTTTGGGGGAGGGAAGTGAAAGGATCAGTATGCGTCTCCATTGTATGGAACTATGCGCATACTGACAGCTGAACTGACATACTGACAGCTGGGTGGACAACGCTTCGGATTCGTAGTCCTGAGATTCCACGTTCGATCCCCGGAGGATGGGAAGACAAATGGACAAAAATGTTTCATTCACTCTGATGCCCCTGTAACCTAGCAGTAAATAGGTACCTGGGAGCTGGACAGCTGCTACGGGCTGCTTCCTGGGGAGGGTGTAACAAAAAGGAGGCCTGGTCGAGGACTGGGCCACGGGGACGCTAAACCACGAAATCATCTCAAAATTACCTCAAGATCTCAAGATAACTTTCTTTGCTGTATCATGTGTTAATACATGTATTGACTCTCACATGTAATAGTGCATGTTTGACAGATACTCACCTGAAATCACACACACACACACACACACACACACACACACACACACACACACACACACACACACACACACACACACACACACACACACACACACACACACACATTAGACTTCATGAAAATCACCTTGGAGGTGTCTTTAACTATTATTTCTTAAGGCATTTAAGTTAGGCGTTAACCAGACCAGCCTATATCAGTCCCACACCCCTGCCCACAACAAATGATGAGCCGACGACGTTTCGGTCAGTCCTGGACCGAAATCAATTATGAGATTATCAAGTCGATTATCACAATCGATTTGATAATTATCTAGGACGTGCCGAAACGTCGTCGTCTCTTCATCTTCTAGTGTGTGGTTTGGTTATTATACCTTCATCAAAGTTATTGTTACTCGTCGTCTGTGTTCCTTCAGCAAATATGGGTAAGACTAGCCCCAAGCCTCTCTCCTCCAACTTTGGACAGACAGACAGACAGACAGACAGACAGACAGACAGACAGACAGACAGACTCATGGACCAAGGGACCAGGTTTCGATCCTGGCAGCTGGGGGGAAAACAAATGGGCAGAGTTTCCTTCAGCCTGATTCTCCCTGTTTCCTAGCAGTAAAAAAGTACCTGGGAGTTAGACAGTTGTTACGGGGTGCCTCCTGTGTGTGTGTGTGTGTGTGTGTGTGTGTGTGTGTGTGTGTGTGTGTGTGTGTGTGTGTGTGTGTGTGTGTGTGTGTGTGTGTGTGTGTGTGTGTGTGTGTGTGTGTGTGTGTGTGTGTGTGTGTGTGTGTGTGTGTGTGTGTGTGTGTGTGTGTGTGTGTGTGTGTGAAAAAAATAGTTAGTAGTTAGTAACAGTTGATTGATTGACAGTTGAGAGGCGGGCCGAAAGAGCAGAGCTCAACCCCCGCAAGCACAACAAGGTGAATATAGACACGCTGTATTATAAGAATAAATATATACGAATACAAAATCATAGAATGAAAAATAAGAGAACATAGAGATACTAAAAGAAAAATTGGAAATAAGAGACAAATCTAAAAATAGCCCGAGACATGGACGATTGGGAAGGTAATGCTGTTAGAAAGAAAGAGAAGGGCGGCGGCTTCTGCTTCTACAGTGACAGACGAGAATGGGTTTGTCTGAAAGCCATCCCTATCCCTTCCTTTTCCACAATGAGAGAGAGAGGAGGGAGGGAGGGAGGGAGGGAGGGAGGGAGAGAAAGAGGAGGGAGGGAGGGAGACAGACAGACAGACAGACAGACAGACAGACAGACAGACAGACAGACAGACAGACAGACAGACAGACAGACAGACAGACAGACAGACAGACAGACATAAGTTATTACATATATTATAATATGTATCAGTATAATTAATAATATTGTTAGTTCTATCTGAATGATCCTAATTATTCAAGAGTAATAATATTTCGTCCTAAAGAGATTAACATTATTTCAGCATTAACGAAACTGTGGTCTGTACTTAACTACTTCCCCCGCAGATTGGGCCAGCCGCTGCTCAGAAACCGCTTTATCCTTTTCTATTGGCGTATTATGACTACCTAACTCAGTAGCAAGAATCAGAGGCCAGCTTGACTCTTAATGTTCTTCCCAGAACCCAAAATATGATTGAAATCATTAACGAACTTGAAATATTAACTTTTTCTCTCTCGTATTCACATTCATTAAGAAATTCAGCTTCTTGCGCCACTTGGAAATGCCGTCAACCATATGATCCACTTCAACACAGAGCCGTTATATGCACCATTCACTTAGAAGTTCCGTCACAACTCACAACAAAACGCGTATAACTGTTTCGCATATTAACAGAACCACAGAAAACAGGGAGATATTCACTGAAAAGGGATGATGTAATATTTTAGGAATGGCATCATATTTCAGGAACTGTATAACAGTTGATGAATTATATAATGTTTCAAGAATTATTACAATGTTTCAGGAATGATTATAATGTATTAATACTGATATGTTTCAATACTGATATTATGTTTAAAAAATTACAAAGTTTCGTCAGCATTTCTGCAGTCTTTAAATGATAATCTCTCTCCGAGATAACTCATGGAAATAGTGATCATCTAACTGCAACATCGAAAGTTTGTCTTCAAAATGTAGGTAGTACTAAGTAGTCTTAAGTTTGTTTTTATCTCATAAGCCTTTCCGGAACCAAGACGTTCAGGACATCCTGGGAATGCTACTCTTACAAGACTCCAAGTCATGAATAAATGCAGCCTCTGTCTCCACCTGGAAGTTTTTACTGTCTTCATTGAGAATTGTTCTCTGCAGCAGCGAGACGTCGGGCTTGATTTGCATGTGAAAAGCATTACCCTTGGCCCGGCTCCTTCTCTGAACCTGTCTTACTTCAACTGTGAGTATAGTGAAATAAAAATGCACATTATATGTATGTATATATATATATTCATTCATACATTTAAATGTGTAGGTATATATATATATATATATATATATATATATATATATATATATATATATATATATATATATATATATATATATATATATATATATATATATATATATATATATATATATATATATATATATATATATATATATATATATATATATATATATATATATATATATATATATCCTCCGGTCGAGGATTCATTCATCATTTTAACAATTCATGAACGTACAAGTTACAGCCCCGCTCCTATTACAGGTAAGTCCACTACCGGCTTCCCATAACCCGTGCTACTTGGAACTTTTTGTTTCTAATAGCTGAATCTAAAACATGAATGTATATAAATTATCAGATTAATCTGGATTCTGAAAATAGCAGATTTCCAAGAACATATTTTTGAAAACCTTTCACGAATATTGAGTTATGACATAAAAGAAATGTTGCCATTTTAAAAATGCTTTTCCTCGAAGGAGGGAGGAAAATATAATGGGAAAGCGCCAAACCATTACGACTATATAGCATTTGGAAGGGGTCAGGATAAGGTTTGGGATGGGACGGGGGGGAAGGAATTATGTCCAACCTTCGGGGATTGAACGCCGACCTGCATGAAGGGAAATCGTCATCGAATTTGATAAACTCCTTCGAGGAATTTCAGTTTTTATAATGACAAAAACTGGTTTAGAACACTGCAAATATTAGATATTCTACCCATAACTTGTGTAATGCTAGTTGAAACTTGCCATCAATGGTTTCCTGATCAGTTGTGAATAAATTAAAATTGACTGGTACACAATCAGACTGATTTTGATTGGAATCCTGAAGACTCGAAATACTTCAATGTTGGTATATTTTAATCCAATTTCAAGTATGGGTTTTATGGTATTAACTGCAGCTTACGCTAACAATGAACTTCCGTTGCTATTATTATTTCCTCTTTATGCTATTTTTGCTGAAACAGAATAATTTTGAATTTCCTCCCTTGTTCCCTGGCTTCTTTTTTCGCTTGCTATCTTGATATATCTGTCCTTTATATTTCCCTTCCTCTCCCATTTCAATATTTTCCATTTTCATTAATGCATTCCCTTCCTTCTTCATTCCATCGTCCTTTTCCATCTTCATCCACTACCTTCCACCACCCTTCCTCATACCGTTCCATGAGCTCTCCCTTTGTCCCGTCCTCTCCGTAAGCTTTGGTTGTAGATTAGTCACACTGCCAACACAACTGAATTAAGACTTCCCCAAACTTTGCCTACTGATTTAATTATCCACACCCCTCTTCCCATAGTGTACCAGTTATATGCACCTTGCATTCATAATGCACTTGTTATATGCGTCTGGCATGAATGAAATGGCTGTTGGACACTCCTTGCTTGCGTAAAGCAGTTGTTAGGCCGAAACGTACATATCTAATTCAGATGTTAATGGGTGTGCGTAATGAAGTTATTTACATATATATTTCATGCGTAATACAGCTGTTACTCACACCTTTCATGAGTCATACTAATGTTGACGCACTTGCGTCCGTGATGCTGTTGCTAGACGCATCTTGCAATCA